TCTTTATGCCCTCATTTGTCTAAATGTTTCGATGACAAACATTCATTTTTTTGCTATCATTTTTATTAAATAACGTTACCGTATGGCAACACTCGCTTTTTCCTGCTTTTCTGTGGAATATATTATGAATATATGAAACATATCTATATTTCTACATGAAACTGCCATGTGCCAAAACAGACTAATTCGAGATATTCTACCTAAAGTGAACTTTTAGCTTTTTTGTAACATCTCTTCCCCCCCCCCCCGATCGGTATTTTTTCGTAATATCTGGATTCGTTCTCTTAATTTTGAATAATTTAATAAATTTAATAAAACAAAAATGCGAAAAGCAATAATCTAAAGATTGAACCAAATGTATAGAACGTAAATATTGTATATTTGATAATATTATTTTAATTTGTGGAACAACAAACTGATATGAATGAATGAAATTGACTAAATTTAAATACTAAATTTGTTTTTGAGAAAATCTCAAATTTCAGTATATTTATTTCTATAAATCTAATTAACAAATGATTAGCACTAAACTAAAAAATAAGTTACGCATTTTTGGATCAAAAGTTTTTCAGTACTTTGAACAGGAATATTTCTTGTGAACGCGTAAACGAGACCGTGGCCTTCGAGATTAGATGGCCTGGTCAGCTGCAGAATCACGTGATTTGACGTCACGTAAGGCGTCTGAACCAAAGAATCTATAGTGAGATTCTTTGTCTGAACTTTCACCCTTCGCCCTGCATTGTGTGGACACTGCAAGCGAAGACTTCTTATTACGTTGATCGCGTGCTGTATTTTATTGTTTTATTATTCGTGTCTTTTTTATTGCTAAATTTAAGTAATGTTGTTAAGGATATTTTCGTTTTTAAATTTAGATAACTAGTTAACTTATTTGTTAACAAGAATAACGATCGACGTCTATGTAGAGCTAAGTCTTCATCATGCCTGCACGATGTTGCGTTCCAGCATGCAAATCCAATTACGATGGCCCCAATGAATATGTATCAGTATTCAAATTTCCAAAAGATACAGTAAAACGGGATTTATGGATCAAAAAAATTCCAAGGAAAACTTTTATTCCAAGTGATCGCAGCGTTGTGTGTGAAAAAACATTTTCGAAAAGATGATATTATTCGCTATGATTATTTACCAACAAACGAAGGTACTTTTATTCAGATGTGTAGAGGGCATCCTAAATTAAATAACGATGCTTACCCATGCATTTTTTCTGGTTGTTCCAAAATACTTTATCTGAACGTCCAACCCATCAGAGGATGAGCAGGGAAGGAAAAAAGAACTAAGAATGGAGAAAGCATATTTTTAATGAATTTTTGAGAAAGGACAAAATAGCATCATTTGAGGATTTTTCTTCTATAGTTACCGAATAAATTAAATATTTCAGAGTACTTCAAATATTATTTTAACACAAATCTGTTGCTGGTATTGATATTTTATTGCTCAGTTTTCATTCCACATCCTAAAATTGAGAAAAGTATCTTAGTATCTTTGTATCGCTTGCTTCATATGGATATAGCAGTTTATCTAGGAGATGAAGTTGTTCCAGTTGAAAGTAAAGAAGAACCAGTAAAGAGTGAACAGCATTCTTTACTGGTCAAACTTACCGAGATAGTACAAAACATTAAATGTTAAATGATGTTCATGAAACTTGTTTAATGTGTCTAATGGAATTCCCTTTTCTAGCAGATTTCAAAAAATAATGAGCACCATTTCAAATATTTGTTTAAACAATTATACTAAAGTTCTTCAAAATAATATGCATTCAAAAACCGATGAAAGGAAACTTAAAAAAGTCAAGAATACGTTGATGAAAGATAGATATGAGTGATATGTAAATGACTTTGTTTTATTTTTTAAAAATAGTGTAAACTAAATATGATGCAGTTCAGAATATATTTTCAATAATGTATCTTTTACATTTTAAATGTATTAATCCTTTTTGCTGTTTCCTTATTATTTGATAATACTTCCATAATTTTTCAAAATAAATTATCAATTGCGATTAATTATTGCTTCAGTATACTAGTACAACTTGCACAGTATTTGCTTAATTAGACAGAATGATGGTTTGTTCTATGTGTATAGTTGTTTTGAGATTTTCGTTTAGCAAATTTATTGATTTTACGCTTTTATGAAACATTTTATGGATGGCTTTTATTTGTAAATATATTATTTATTATGCATCTACATATAAGTAATAATGTAAATATTATTAAATGACGTAAATATTATTATAATTATTGCTATAGATAACATATAATATGTGAAAATTATTCGTTTTCTGTAATGTTGCAGGAAAATTGTAATTTATTTAATTTACAAGTTTTGAGGTTTAAATTTTTCTGTGGCTTTTGAACTGCTTTTCATTTTATTAGATAGTAATTTAAATGAATTAAAAATGTATTTGCATAATGTTTGGAAGCCCTGAAATATTTATAGTTTCTAGGAAAAATAATTTTTTATGTCTTTTAATTTGCTAAATTATATTTACTTTTGTTAGTGAATTATTTATGTTTCTAAATCTTTTCATTCCTCTCCTTCTCCAACTGTAAAGACATTTTTATGTTAATAAATAACAGCCTTTTTATTTCCTTATTTCAAAACTTTCTTTTTTGAGTGTATCCTAACAAATTATTACAATACAGTGTAAAACAAAATGCACAAGATAACCTAAAACATGGCATAGAAAATTTCGTGAATATTCTTAAAAAATAATATTTATTAAGTTATTAATCTTAACTGCAAATGAATATACGACTTTTTATATACGTTTTCCCGTCAAGTCTCTGGAAATTTAATCATTATGCATTATTAAAAACAAAACACTCTAAACATCGAACGAAACGCTCGCATTCAAATCTGAAGCAAAGAAAGTCACGGAAGGATCGGACGCCTTTCGTGACGTCACTCGCAGCTAATCATGGACCTTATAAGAGATAGACTAACCCAGTGGGTGGGGCGCGCGTCACCGACATGTCCGCAAGAAAGAGTAGGGACGATCTGGTTTACTTTAACACTGAAACCTATGGCGTTCGTATCACATAATTGTTTTTAATTATTAAATGTCATACGTTGCATATAAGTGATGAGAATTATGAAAGTTGCAGTTTTTTCAAATAAGAATTAATATATCTCTTTAAAGCACTTTTTACTGCATTTGGCACATTCTTTTCACGTGTAATTCTTGTATAAACATCTTTACTTTGGTAAAACAACGTAAAAACTGTAAACACAAAATTTATGAACTTACTTTTGCAAGAAATAGTAGGGACAAATAAAGTAAAATTAAATAAGAATGATAGTACCTGAAGCTTTGAAACAAATAAAGCAAAGTTAAACAAGATCTGATATATATATTTTTAAATTTTAATGTGCATTTTCAGGAAGTGGTTTATAAAACTTATTGTAACATTACAAAACAATTATTTACTTGATTATATCATCATTGACTTATCAACATTAAAGTGAAATATTTATTTTAGTAACTTATAAAATTCGGAGCATAAAATTTTCTGAGTATAATGGGGGGAAAAAAAGGTATAAAATAAAATCTAGAAGCACTCAGATTTTATATTACGCCCAAAAGGAACTTTTTTTAACGTTTTGTGTGTTACCTATATTTTGAATATCATGTTCTTCGCCCGTAAACCAAACATTTGAAAACAGCATATCTTTAGAATTTCCGCATTGGAGATAAAATGTTTTTCCGTACAGTGTTACGATTGCTCGCTTTGAACTCGTTGATTTGTTAATCAAAAATTCGTTAAAGTTTTACAAAATATGAAATAGATTGAAACAAATTCGAAATTCGGCCGTCTAATGCCCCATGTTCGGGGTGGAGGATTAGGTTACTTTATTCAAAATTGATGGCTCTAGATACCGGTCGTTTTTGTCACAGTGCGAGAAACATGCATGTATTCATGCAGATTCTTCATTATTTAATTTCTTTAAATATAATACAGAGCGATAATATTTGGTAAACAACAATTTGCAAGGAGACATGGACATTTATAGTGAAAACAGCGCAAAATGCCGCTTGAGCTAAAATTAAATTAACAGTAAATTAAAAAAATCTTATGCAGAACTAAAAATAAATTAAAAAAAATAATCACTATAAAATACAAGCAAAATTAATTAATTACGGTTAAATACAATTTTAATATTAGAATTAAATGTATAAAAATTAAGATGTCAAAAGTGTTTATCACTATGAAGTATTATGAAATATAATTAAAATAAAATTCCTTATAAAAATTGTGCTATAATACTCATCTATAATTTTAAAAAAGCAGCACAATTTAGAATTTTAAACAAAACTTTCAAAAATTCGTTTTTTAATATTTTAGTATTTTTTACTTATTTACACCAATAAAAAGTATAAAAATTGCAAGAGAGAATTGCTTGTTTGAAATTTTCTATTAGTTGAGATTTAAAATATTATTTTCTAAAAGGAGTAGTTAAAAATTTCCTTACAGCATAGGAAAATCTAAAAAATTATCCAGTCCTAAAAGCATGCTAATAGCTTTATAATTATTTGGAACGTTAATTGCTTGATAAATATGCCTAAATTTTTAAAATCAATCTCAATTCAAAAATAAAAAAATGTAGAAATTCTAATTTGTGAAATGAGGCGCTACAACCAGCTTTCTCTTGACAATTATACACGCTGCAATAGGCAACCACTGTTAAATTTCTGCAAGTCGTCCCTACTCTGCGGATGTGATCAAGGTGACAGCCGGGAACGCCTCAGACGAGGGAGAAAACCCATTTGGGTTAGTTTATTTCTTATAAAGTCCATGCAGCTAACCAAGCCATGTTATCTCGAAGGCCACGACGAGACTGGCTTCAGCCAACACCTCCTGTGTTGCTTCAGCGCAGAGAAGCGAACGCCATCTATTGGGCAATGAGCCAAGTTTATCTTTTGGTAACCACAACTCTCTTATCTCTTAGTTTTAGTTTCGCTTTCTGAAAATTGTGGCACCCAAACAAATCGCTGTGGTTCACTCTCTTTTCTTACACACCATCAAAGTGTACGAAGAGAAAAGCCGCTGTTTATCAAAAGTTTCCTTGGTAGGTAAGACTTCATTTTTGATAGATATTTTTTAATTTGAGTGTAATATTTAATAATTTATAAATGGCAACATTTAACATTTAATATTTAGCAACTTGTAATTGGCAACAGTTTGGATACATATATGAAAATAGAACTATGTTGGTATTGGAGGTCTTTGTAATATTATACATTCTATTATTATAAATAAATAGTTTCTAAAAACTAAAAGTGTACCCTCATTATTCTATATGGAAAAAATCTCAAATTTCAGTATATTTTTATATCTAATTAACAAATGATTAACCCTAAATTAAAAAGCAATTAATTTATTTTTTGGGTCAAAAGTTTTTCAGTACTTTGAACACGAATATTTTTTGTGAAAGCGTAAATTTATATCATTTAAAATTTTTAGAATATATGATTTTAATAATATGCCGTTATGATATTTGAATTTTAAACATAATTTTTGAGTGTCATGAGCTCAAATTTTTAAGAAACTTATTATTTCAGTATTTAGTTAATTCCCTGTATTAAAATTTTGCATAAGCTCCGTAAAACGTGGTATTCTGTAGTCCAGTCCAACACGATTTTCCTCTAAAGCAGTTTACGTACACAAATTGGTTTTGATGCTACTCGTATTAAGTTTGGCAAGCAGCAGTTAAGTTGCGCTATTTAAACATTGAATATTTTTTCATCATTAAGATGTACGGATCATTTGATTGTTATACTAAACTCTATATGTAAACAGTCGCATTAATCTGTATGTGTTTGTGAAGTGAAATAATTTGGATATTAAACGAAGTTGGATTTCGAGTCAAAACAGGTTCCATCATTATCGTATAGAACAGGAATGGCAAACAGGATTTACAAAGTGCCAAAATTAAAGCAAATTTAAATGCAAATTTTTTTCATGTACCATATCAGTAACTTATACTGATCATTCATATCAGTAACTTATGTTTTTATACGTAGTGCATGTATATTTTTTGTAATAAATAATAAACAAAACATAGAGGTAGAGTACAGTATTTATTCAGTATAAAATAGTTATAAAATTATAAAATTTTAATAATCATTATAATTTGAAATAAACTAGTCTTATGATCTGTTAGAAGTTTTTTTGCTTCATGTTGCTTGCAAGGTTTTTAATATCAGCCTGGTATGTTATCGATTGCAAGACATGCTGCTGAGTCTATCCCTGCCAATCTGTTTGCGGGAAGTACATGATTTCAGGACTCAAAAGAGTCCTATGTATCCCTGACATGATTTAATACAGAAAAAGACTTTCTAAAGAGTGAGTGGGCAAAAAAGGGTTAACAATGAGATTGCTGATTTTTTTAACTGAAAAAAAAAGGGCATCTGGCATATTGTTCCACGTGTCTAGTATTGAGTTTTTAATGCGGGATACCGGCTCTCTATCCTCTGACAATAGATAACGCTCCAATATTTCGATATATTTTCGTATATCTACAAATTTTTGTGTCCATATAGGATAGATCACAAGATACATTGCAGCTCTACAGTCTACATTTCTAAATTTATTAATTCCATCCAACTAATGAGGTTGTTATCGAAACCCTTTGTGTCGAATAAATCCGGATAATTTACGATATCTTGTAGCCTCTCATTTCTTTTATAATCTTTAAATTTGTTTGAAAATTATTCTTTAATAGAATAAAGAACTTTTGAAAATTCATAGTTGAATTTCCAATTAGTTGTTTTGAAAAGTGTAGTTTCATTCAAAATAATCTTAAGTTTTGGAAAATGATTAAGTTTTTCAGATGCAGTATCTCTAGTAAAAATATCTAATTTGCATTCAAACTCATTTATTAATCCAATCATTAACTCACTGTTTTCCCCCCGCTTTGCAATTTTTTATTCAGATCATTCAAATGTAAAATTATGTCTACGAAGAACACCGATTTTATCAACCATTCCGTATTATGCAATTCTTTATACTTCGCGTTCTTTTCGGTACATTTCTTAGTTTTGAAAGTTTTATGTACATTTTATTTTCTGGAAAGCGTGCAATAATCGCTAATCTGGCAGATGACTTCATATCAGTTGCTTCATCGAGATAAGTAGAAATTAGTCGCAGCTATTAATATCGTTGTAAAGTTGATTGAAAATAGTGGCACTGATTTCTAAAATCGTATTTTTAACAGTATTTCTACTTAGAAAAAGATTATTCCGAGAGTTCAAGAATTACAAACGCGATTCTTGAACTCTTGGAATAATCTTATCTTTATTATTGAAACATTGAAATAAACTGGGGACAGATTTTAACATAACCGTTTTTATAAACTTTCTACCAGAAAATGCTTTTGATTGTTCAGCTATCATATCATTTGGAAACTTCAAAACTGGCTTCCGTAATAATGGTATTATTTTGGAAAATTTTGACAATAAATTTATTGATTTTCATATATTTTTTAATCGTTGAGAAATTAGTTCTTTTCTCAGTATTTTTTCCAGCAATTTCTGTATAGTTGGTTTCAAAATGTCGCTTGACAGGTGACATTCGACATACAATAATTTCAAAACACAGACCACATCGACTTTTATCGCCATGTTCAAACGAAGCCACAATCAACAGTCCAAGTACATCCTGAAGGTTCTGTTTTTTTTTTTTTTTTAATTTTTTTTTATCGGTATAATTTTAATCTAGCGAGTATTAAATATTTTATATTTAAATTCAAACAGAAACTTTATAGTAATTAATGAATTGCATTGGTAAAATTTTACTTCAAACAAACATAACAGTGCTGTACTGGCCGAAATAGAAATAGTGACAGACATTGTTGTCAGCTCTACAAAATCCAATCCCGGACAGAATTATTAAAAAAGCAAGATTGTTAAATACGCTATTAGATGATACTTATGCTACTAAACCTACATAATATCATTTCGTAACCTAGAAAGAATATTCTCCCAATTATTTTATTTAGTTAGTTATTATGATATTTACGTATTATCGCGTCTACCGTTAAACTGTCGCAAGCAAAGCGATTTAGAACCATTAATGGATAAAGAGTGGTCTAACAGCATACACAGAATATCTGCTCCTCCGTTTTATATAATTACGACTGATTCTCGAAAAAACGTTTTATTTTTATGAATTAGGATATTTATTTATACAAACACCAGACATTTAGGGGCTAAGCCATTAGTCTTGATCTTGTTTCCCATTACTTAACAACAATCGAATTAAAAGATAATAGAGCAGTGCATTCGTCAATATGCTCCTTATCCATAGACTGTCAAGAGTTACAAAGAGTACAGACTGAAGCGTCCTTAAGGCGAATTTTAAAAAGATGGGCGTTCAGACGATCGTGCCCAATCAAAAGACGGACTATCGCCACTGTTACAGGACGAGGAAAATCCGGAATAACTGGCTTTGAACTAGTGATAGACTCCCAGGCCTTGGGCCTACCTGTTCATTTTGTATCACACGAGATTCACGATTGTTTATAACTTGATATTCTTGCGTTTATTTTTGATAACATTTCTTATTTATTTAAATCAATGAAGTACTGTAAGTATTTACAGTAATGTATTTACTGCAAACTGAAATATACAGTACTGAAATATATAATTTGACGTTTGCGCTCTATGGGTCTGAAGAGCAGGGGTCTGCTTACACGCGATTTTTGTTTTAATAATTATATGCGTAGATTATTTAGAGATGTATAGCAGTTTGGAAAAAAAAAAAAAAAAAAAACCCTGTTTGACAAGCCATACTGTATATAATGGAAAATATGTCATAAGAAGTAACTTAATATTGTATGTGCGTGTAACATGTACACTGCGAGAAAAACTAGGGGGGACAGTTCTATCTCCCATTCTACTGGGACGATTGACGAAATTCAAATTGCGTTTTTCATGTCTCGAAAGCGCGACTTAGGATATATTAGATTTATATATAATATTGTTCTAATATAGGTATTTTGACAAAAAAAGGCGGACTTTTTCTGAAATAACATGACATATTTTTCCCATATTTCGATTCTATGATTCAAATTATGCCTAAATATTAAATTTTGTAAAATTTGGTGCCAAATTTACGGAGAAACTAAAAAAATGTATCTTGGCGAATTTTTTCAGTTTTCGACAAGAATAACTCACTTTGCAACCTTTTTAATTTATAGCAACCTATTTTCCTTTCCTTTTTTTCATTGTACACGAGCGGAAAAAAAGTCATCATTCATTCTTTCAAATAATTTTAACAAAGTGCGTAAACCACATTTGGCAGTATTATCGCTTATAACAAATATGCCAAATTTCAAAACGCGCCAATATAGGTATAAATTCACTTATATCTTAAGAAATTTCGAGCTTAAAAAAACTCTAAATTTTGCAGGTATGCTTAGAAATCCATCTACTTTAAGATGATGGTAAAAATTTCATAGGTTATAATTCAAATTTTGTTTTTGAAAAATTATAAAAATTATTTAAAATACAAATTTTAAAAATAAATCAAACAAAATGGACGAATTTGTTGGAATGAACCTAAATTTCGATATGTGAAAGGAAAAAGAAAATAATAAAGCAATAATAATAATTAATAAAGAAACCTAAATTTCGAATTGTCAAATATGTTTAAATAAAAAAGAGATATTAATAAATATATATCAAATTCAATTAACATTGAGGAGCTAAAATTTTGAGAGCTAATTTTTAAAGACTATTCGTGCGATTTTTACAAAACTTGGCAGTTTGACATAATTTGCATCGAAATATGGAAAAAATTGAAATTTTAGAAAATGACATTTTAGAAGAAATTGACATTTTAGAAAAAGTCCGATCTTGTGTCAAAATACCTGTATTAGAACAATGCTGTATATAAATCTAATACATATCCTAAATTGCGCTTTCGAGACTTGAAAAAACGAATTTCGTCTATCGGCCCAGTGCAACGGGAGATAACTATCCCATTTTTTTCTCCGCAGTGTACGTACATGCTAATCTATTTTATTGCTTATTATTATGAAATAAGCGCAGATTTGCATATTTTACA